TAGTCGAGCAGTCTCGACTAGAGCTTTCTTACTTGTTTTTATATTCCTATTTATTTTTATTATTTGCCAACTATACTAAAAATTCTTGTAGTGTACCTAGGCATATAAAGATATGAACGTGCTCAGCCTTAAACAGTTTGCTGATTCAGCCAATTGGTAGAGGCGAACGGCAAATCAGCCGACTTACATTATGCCAAATAGAATTTAAATTGAACTACTTGATTAGTTAAGCAGTTGAATAAATATGCATGTGTATATATACACAAAATATACTCGAAATGTTTGTTAAATATGAATTATTAATTGGATTTTGTACATCTTTATTTATCACTAATTGTGGCATAGAGCTGGCTATTAAGACCTGCATAGAGCCAACTGGCTGGGCAAGTTTTCTGTGGCTCTGGCTCGAGATGAATCTCGTAGCTCAGCTCGATCGTGTACCCAATCATCCGTTTCAGCTGGGATTAGGCATGAAGATGCACTAATTAGAAGAGCTAGCGCGATAATTATCAATTGATCTATAAATTAATTCGGCATCCAGCCCATGCGCGTGGGCCGATCGACACGCCCTGTCGCTATTTCGTAGCGCAGACCTGAGCTCAGCCGGGAAGCACCCGCGATCGGGCAACGAGTGCCTGAGACGTTGCCATATACATACGTATCGTTTAATGTTTTTTTTTTTTCCTCTCTTTTTTTTGCAGTTGTCGTTTAATGGAAAGATCACCGGCAATCAAAACATTGGCGGGCATTGCAGTGGAGGCAAAAAAGGAAAAAGCAAAAAGCAAAATAAACCACACAGAACAAAACAAAACAAAATAAAAGACAACAGAGCAAACAAACGCGAAAATAATAGCAAATAGAGCAAAAAGCGAGACGAGCTCATCGCAACAGCAGCGACGACCCCTTGTCAGCGGCTAGCCTATAAAAAGCGCCGGCCGGCAAGCCGAGCTCCACAGTTGATCCAAGGCGACTACGATGGCATCAGCGACGATCACACGGATTCTGCCAGCAGTGACGCTGCTGGCGCTGCTGCTCCATGGCAGCTATGCTGCCGCCGAGGAGCCAATCTGTAAGCAAGCTCCCTGAGCATGCATATACATGTGTGCATGTGTGCATGCATATGTTGGACAGATCGTGACTAATCTACACACCTATGCATATACATCGTATATGCACATCTCTTGCAGATCGCTTGTGCGTGCCCCAAATCTACTACAGTGATTGCCAGAAGCTGCTCGCCGATCCCTCGGAGGCGGGCATTCGCATGGAGTGCGTAGCTGGACGGGATCGTGTCGAGTGCCTCGAGCTGATCGAGCAGCGCAAGGCCGATGTGCTGGCCAGCGAGCCAGAGGACATGTACATGGCCTATCATCGCAAGAACGAGGACTATCGCGTCATCTCCGAGATACGCACCCAGGATGACAAGGACGGTGAGTACGATCAATAGGATAAGAAGTGCGAGTGAGATGATTAGAGTAACAGAAAATCTGGAGAAATTGAGCAAAACAAAAATGTCTTTGAAATCTTGGCACTTGCGCGTAGAAAATCATCGAAATCGGTACCAAAAATAATAATAACAGAAAAATATTTATATAGAGAGGAAAAAAAAGAAATTTTAAGAAAAGTGATATTCAGTTTGAGTTACCAAAATTTACATATAAACAGAATTTTTTACTAGATCTGTGTAATAGTTTTTGAAACTATTGATGTTTAAATTTAAAAAATGATTATAAAATTTCACTCAATTATAAATTTACCTTATTTGAAAGCGAATTTATAAAAAAAAAGTGACTTTCAGTTTGAGTTCTTTAAGCTTCCATGTAAAAGAATCTCTTGTATGAAACCTTTTAGCTAGAGTTATTGTTGCATATTTTGATTTGATATCAGAAGAACATCATAGTGCATTGAGCTAAAGAAATAGATAAAATAAAAGTTATAAGAAGCGACTTTCAGTTTGAGTTCCCGAAATTTCCATATAAAAGTTTTTATTTAGATCTGTTTGAATCTGAATCTGAATCTATTGATTTTCAAATTTCAAAAAAATGATTATAAAACTAAACAGAATCATAAATTTATTATATTTGAAAGTAAATTAGTAAAACAAGCTTAAAAATGAGTTTGATATGCAACGAAAATTGCGAATTTGTAGTTCAAAACTATGCGTAATTAAATAATTATAATAACAAATTACACACATCTATTTGCACATTGTATGAATTACATACAAACAGACTATAAAAGGAATAGAGTGGACCTCAAAGCTAGTTCTACGACTGCCATAGAGGTCTTATGCTCATAAATATTTCTCTACTCGGAAACATAGACTTGTTACTGAATTTATTACATTAAAGTAAAGTAATTATTAATTTTATTAGTATATTCATTATATTCATTTCATATAAAATTAGTCAAGGCAAAGTAAAAAGTAGCTGATCTGCCTCAACAGATTTCTGATTAAGCAAACTCATTTATGATTGGACTCAGTTCAAGTCTTTGCTAGGCTTAAGATTTCCTAATTTCGACTTTGTTTTCTTACGCACATAATCACATTTGATCCTGCAGCTGACTTCCGCTATGAGGGCATTATCCTGGTGAAGAAATCGTCGGCGATCCACTCGCTGAAGGAGCTGCGTGGCGCCAAGTCCTGCCACACCGGCTTCGGTCGCAACGTGGGCTACAGGATTCCGATTACCAAGCTGAAGAATACGAATGTGCTGAAGGTCTCCGCCGATCCGCAGATCTCGGCCACGGAGCGTGAGCTGAAGTCCCTGTCGGAGTTCTTTTCGCAGTCGTGCCTGGTGGGCAACTACTCGGCGCATCCGGACACGGACCGCCTGCTGAAGAAGAAGTACGCCAACCTGTGCGCCCTGTGTGAGAAGCCAGCTCAGTGCAACTATCCGGACAAGTACAGTGGCTACGATGGCGCCATCCGCTGCCTGGACAAGGGCCAGGGCGAGGTCGCCTTCACCAAGGTGCAGTACATCAAGAAATACTTTGGCCTGACCGGCAACCCGACGGCGCCGGCAGCCGAGGGCAAGCCCGAGGACTTTGAGTATCTGTGCGAGGACGGCACACGTCGCCCCGTCACCGGACCGGCCTGCTCCTGGGCGCAGCGCCCCTGGAGCGGCTACATATCGAACGAGCAGGCCGTCCACGGCACCGAGAAGCTCCATCAGCTGCAGTCGCGCCTCGAGCGCTTCTTTAACAATGGCCTGCACGCCGACAATCAGGCGGCGGCCGCCCACCTGCTCATCCAGCCGAACGCCGTCTACCACAGCAAGCAGGAGGCCATCGATCCGAAGGTCTATCTGGAGCGTGCCGGCTACAAGGATGTGATCGAGCGCGATGGCAGCGCCATTCGCAAGCTGCGGCTCTGCGCCCAGCGCGACGCCGAGTTCTCCAAGTGCCAGGCGCTGCACCGTGCCGCCTACGCCCGTGATGCTCGCCCGGAGCTGGAGTGCGTCCAGGCCACCGACTGCATCGAGGCGCTGGCCAGCAACAAGGCCGACATGCTGGTGGCCACCGCTGCCAGCTATGCCGATGCACGGGAGCACAAGCTGTTGCCGCTGGTCTTCGAGAAGCTCCGGCCCGAGGAGCTGCTCGTGGCCGTTGCCCCGCCCACTCTCAGCCGCGACGACTTGCAGAAGGCGCCCATGTAAGACAGACAGATTGAGTGAGCGCAAGTGAGAGCAAGGCCTGAATTTTCCCCTCTTTTCCCTCTCTTTCCCCTCCCCAGTCACTTTGATGCCAGCAGCGAGCGCGCTCGCCTGAGCGCCGCCTTGTTGAACAAGCGCCGCAGCCTGGATTGGTGCAAGGTCGAGCCGAGCACGGAGCAGCAGCTGCTGATCGTGCCCGCCAAGCAGCTGGAGCAGCACAAGGACTGGCAGCTAGTCTGCCCCACCCTGGAGCGTCGACCCGTCACCGACTTCACCAGCTGCAACGTGGAGGTGCAGCTGCCGCGCGCGATCTTCGCCCGCGCCGACACCACGCCCGTCGAGCAGGAGACCATCAAGCATCTGTTCGCCCTCATCTCGGACCGCTTCGGCGCCCACGGCAAGTTCGTCGACGTCTTCGCCCTCTTCGGCGAGTACCAGAAGGGCGAGCAGAATGTGCTCTTCGACGTAAGTGTTCCCACCCCTGCCTGCCCTTGCCCTAACGCAATCCATTCACCAATCCATCAATCTCTCCCCCCCCACAGGACAATGCTGGCGAGCTGGTCACGAAGCTGGAGAGCGACTACCAGACCGAGGCCATCTACAATGACCTACGCTGCGATGCCAACAAGATTGCCAAGCAGTAACTCAAGCGGCCGTGGCATCTGCATATGCAGCCCATTATCAACTATAGCACTATAATGCATCCGTTTTTTTTTTTTCCTAAATATATACGATTATGATGATAGCCTAAAAGGACTTTCAATTGAGCTCAGGGGCTGCAGGCAGACGCTAGAAGGGGCAAGAGTCTTCAAGTAGTTGAAGATCTTTAATGCAAAAATTGGCAGATTCTTCGACATACTCTGGAGAAGCTTAATGAATATGTAGAGATCGGAATCTTCAGTTAATCCTAACTGATTTATTTTGTTATGTAACAGAATTTACTTGATTCAAATCAAAACATAGTTTTTCTTGAAGAGCGGTTCTGAGTAAGTTGATCCTACTCTTTGAAAACAAAGGGTTATTTCTGTATATTGTCTTATACGGCAACGAGTTATTTCTGATCAAGACAAAAGCGCTCTATTGATAGTGGAATACCGTCCTGATTTCTTTACCTATCGGAAACGTCCCTCAGTTGATATTCACTCAGTAACATTCTTCAAGATCATGAAAACCTTCAACTGCTATTAAACAGTCATGAGTCTTTCATTTTTTTTCTCAGATTCCCACAGCTTAAACTAACCGAATCGCTTTAGGAATTAAGGAAACATGATTTGATTTTCTCTCTTTTTTTTTGTTACAAAATACATTTTCTATATATTTTTTGGGCAAATGGAACCAACCAGCTAGTGTATATATATTATATATATTATATAGACTTTATAATTGTATATGTAAAATCGAAAAAAAAAAATCGCTTGTTTCTCACTAGTTGCAATGGGGGGTAGAAGGAGACTGCAACCTTCGCTTAGGTATACGGAGTAGATCTGCCAAATTGACCACAGAAATAGGATTTGCAAATTCGATGATCTCCGCACAGGGGGGAGTGAGCGACAGATTGGTAATTCATTTAGTCGGAGGCCTCGCGCTTCTGCTGCTCCGCCGATGACTCTGCCCCGCTGGCCGACTCCTCCTCCTCCGAGTAGTCCTCGTCGTGTGTGTGAGTCACCACAGTGGGCGTCGATGGGCGCGTGTGCACAATGGAGCTCTGCGAAATGGAGAAGATGATTAGCCAAGGGGTCACCCACTCGATTCTCAAGAGCTTACCGCGCGATGCAAGTCCTTGCCGCTGTTGCCCTCCTTCGCCGGCGCATTGCTGCCAGCGATGACTTCGTCATTGCGCAGCGCTGAGTTGAGCTTGGATGCGACGGCGCTGCTGCTGGCACCGTCCAGGGCGGCCACCGAGGAGGCGGTCGCCAGCGGCGGTGGCGGCTGGTGGGCCTGATCGTGGGCCACCGTCGACTCGTGGGGCAGCAGCATGGCCGGGGCGCGGAACATGTAGGAGAATGGGTAATAGATGAGATTGAGCAGCGTTGCGGCATAGACGTCGGCGTATCGGACCACCTGGCTGGAGAAGAAGGTCTGGCGCGAGCCAGAGCGGAATAGCGAGCCCATCATGCCGTAGGCCATGTCCATTTTGTGTGTGACATCCCGGATGCAGGTGCGCAGCTGCGATATGTCCGGCTTCACCTTGGCACTCGAGTCCAGGTCGCGATACAGATCGCCCAGCTTGATGTCCAGATTCTGTAGCTCCGCAAACAGTTGGCACTCCTCCGTCCACACGTTCAGCTCCCGCACCAGCTCCGGCACAATGAGGAACGTGCGCCAGCCGCGTATCTTCTTCGACTTGAGTATGTCGCCGAAGATGTGATCGCCCACGTACAGCACGTCCTTGCCCTTGGCATTGATGAACTTGGTGAAGAGCTCGCACGAGCCGCCCGAATACACCTGCCCCGGCTGCAGCGGCCCAATGTGCGTGCCAATCTTCAGGTCACCCGTCTCCGTATCCACCTGCCGCAGCACCGTGCCCTCGTCGAAGAACAACGGCTTGCGCGCATCCACCACAATCACATCGAAATAGCTCTTCCAGTCCCGATGCGGCTCATCGGCATTGGCGCCATGCGGAAAGTCGAACAGATAGGTCATGATCTCATTGGTGTACGTGTAGTCGCTGTTGGTCAGCATGAACAGCTTCGCGCCCGACTCCCGAATGCGGCACAGAACCGTCGGCAGACGTTTGTCCTTCTTCACGTAGTAGGCCATGTTCTGTGGAGACGCGAAAGGTGAAAATCAGTTGGCAAATAGCGGAGGGATACAGCTTGAAGGTATACAGCTAGACGACTGAATCAATGTAGAGAAACATTCATTGGATCGAAGTGCATAAACAGGAGGAGGAGTAGAGGTTAGGAAATTCTTCTACAGAGAGAACGGTCCAGAATAATTCTATAAACACATTGAATTTCTGCTAAGGATCAACATAGAGTATCTCCAATTGTTATTATCAATGAAAAACCCTACGATCTCATTTCAGTTTGAGTACGAACATCAACTAAGGGTACTAGAGTACGTAGATCTTCGTGTCTGACAAGGGTAAATTTTAGTAAAGCTGATTAATGAATGCTGGGACTCACCTGTGTGGTACGACGCTTCAGATCGCCATCGGAATGCACCCAGTCGACGGCGCGTCGCACGTCCTGGAAAATCGACTTATACGTAAATAGAAAATCACCAGCTTTGATTCCGCGTTCAACGCTGTTGGGTATACGAATAGACATAGAGAGAGAGAGTGAGCGAGTAAGACAGTGACAGACAAAGAGAGAGAGAGAGAGAGAGAGCGCGAGAGAGAGGGAGCGAGACAGTGTGTGTGTGTGTGTGGGAGGGATAAAGGAGCATCCAGAGTTGGACACAGGCGACATACAGATAGACAGAGCGCAGCAGCTGGGAAGCGTGCGTCGAACACAACATTTAGCCTCAACTCACCGAACAAAATCCTTGCTGTTGGTAAAGAAATCGACCAGACAGGCCAGCAAATAGGTTTCGGGCAAATTGAATAGAGTGTTCAACACGTAGACCCTAGACTCGTCCAGCTTGAGGAACTTGTTGGGATACAGCTCGTACACCTGATGGCTGTCAAAGGGGGAATACATTATTAGTTTAACGTACTACAGCTCTTACTCTAGCACAGTGAAACCTACTGCTTGATGAACTCAAAGCCATGCACACAGACCAGAATATTGCCATAGGCATCCACCTTCAGCAGATTGCCGTAGAGCGTATCGAACCACAGGCCACGCACTGGAAATGTCGGATCGTACTCGAACTGCAATATCTCCTTCGGATAGCCCATCGAGACGAGTCGCTCCTTGACCAAATTGAAGCCCAGCTGCTCATATTGCGGCGATTTGTACTCTAAATGTAGAGGGTTTATAGAAATATTTAAAAATAATCTCATCTATTTCTACCAGACTCGGTGTACTCACCTGCCAAGGTGTAATCCATGTCGAAGCCATAGTACTTAATGTTCTCCAAATGCAGCGATCGGTTCACAAAGACTCTGAAAGAGTGAATATTTCGAAAGATTTTAATATTGATCGTCAACAACTTGATATATACTAAATATATTGTATATTAAATATGTATTACATATTTATTCCCAACAACAAATTAGATAATTATAAAAATAACTAAAGTAACTAAAATTGTGCTTTGATATTCCACTTTTGATTTTATGCGTAGCAAAATAAATATTGCCTAACTTCAGGCGCCAAGCATAAAATTAGAGCTGGAAGGAAAATTGGTAGCTGATAAGCTGACAAAGTGATTTTTTTTTTTTTTAACGGTGCTATCATTAGTTCACCTTTAAACTATTATTCTAATTTTAATTAATAATAAATAATTAAATAATAACAATTCATTGATTAAGTTATCAGAACAGTATAAAATATATAAATTCCTATAAATTATTAATTGAAGTTTGATTTTAATTTGATTTTTAGTAATCTTAGCTTCTTTTTAGAGTTAACTAGTAGTACTAGAAGAAGAAGATATGTAATATATATGATGTTAGACTAATGCACGAAGTAAAAGTTCTTCGGCAGTAAGAACAATCCGTTGATATACATTGGAGATGTATAAGATGTAGATACGTAAGCCCTATATCTTGCAATATTCTAGAACTGTTGCCGTTGGGATCGTGCATGAGTATTCTTCAGTCTTACTTTTCTTCCTCTTACTTATCTTCATGAGCAACAAAATTGTATTGATATTTCGTTCTCAAAATAATAATCAATAAAAATAAAGTTAATTTAAATATATGAATTTACTTTATATACTATATATACTTAAAAGTTTACCGACCAACATTTGATAGAATCGTATAATGGAGGAAACTTTGCAATATTATTTCTGCTTTAGCTCAATCAGTTAATTGTCTTGCTCGCAAATATTTGTGATCGCCGCTGACGTCACAGATGGTCTGATGCAAGTTGGCTTATCGCTGACTTTGCAATTGCATCGACGCGGCTCCCCCCTTTTGGCTAACCCCAAACCGAACTGTTCGCCGGGGTTATCAAGCAGCTTCACGGCCATAGCATTGCACTGCGCAAAAGGCAAACGGAAAAGTGAAAAATGCGAAATACGAAATGCGAAATGCGAAATGCAATTGAGCAATTGTGAATTCAGGCAAATTCAATACAATATATAAGGACCACACATTTGGCTTAAGCGCCATTCAAAGAAAAACAACGTCCAAATGCAATTGTTCTTAACAACGGAACTTGGATGTGGTTCACGTTGGCCGCAGGCCGCTCTGCGGCCAGCAATTAGTGTAAAAAACTTGTTGTGGGCGTTGACACGCCCCTTCTCTCTCTCCCTCTCTGTGTGTGTCCTTCTATCCCTCGCTCTCTCCCTCTCTCTCTCTCTCTCTCTCGCACTCTGCCTGTCTGGCTGTGTGTTTTGCTGTGATAGCCACGCCCATTAGCGTTACGCCCCCAATTGCGGCAAAACTCATTAGCAACAGCAGCATTGGTAGCGCTTCGCTTGCCATCCAATTTTTTTGTTGTTTTTTTGGAAAGGGCAAGCGAAAGCGTCGATTTTTTAGGCAACTAGCGAAAGCTTTTAAATTGCCAACAACAAATTTGATTAAAGCACCAAAAGTGTGTCTGGGTGCCGTAATTTTCCTTTATATCCTCTACTAAATCTTGAACATGAATAGAAAATGGGATTATAGCATTCATAAAGTTGGTTAGAAAGTATAGAATAGCATGATATTAGAGAGAGACGGATAGCTCATACTGAGGATGTATTGTAATCAGAGAGAGGGAGAGAGGGAGGGAGAGAGAGAGAGAGAGAGAGAGAGAGCGAAATCAGGGCATTATATTAGAGAGAGACGGATAACTCATACTGAGCATATATTTTAATCAGAGAGAGAGAGAGAGAGAAAGCAGGGCATGATATTAGAGAGAGACGGATAGCTCATACTAAGAATGTAGTGTAGTCAGAGATGCTGAGTGAGACTGAGAGGGCTACATATGTATTCGGCATGGGTTCGCTCTGATTTCGATAAACGAGAAGAATAAGAGAATAAGAGTCTCTGACATTGTAAGAGATATGGGAGAGACGAAGCGACATCGGAAGCATATGGAAACAGAGCACAGCTATTAGAGTTGGAGAGATGGCAACTCAAACAATGTATATGAATAATATGGCATAAAATCCCCAAGTGCTTTCAACTGAGTCAAATTATATTAGCTAGCTTTAATATGGGCTCAACAGCATATTGAGACTTTTGCTTAGTCAAGAACAATTTGTCACAGATTTTTCGATTTTTCTTGTTCTTGTTTGTCAGATATATTGTAAGCAATGTATATGTGTGTGTATGTGTGTGTGTGTGTTTGTGTGTGTGTGCGTTTATTTATTTTGTTGTCGCTTTTGCAATTTGCTTCACTTGAAAATTTGCCAAATAAGCGAAAAGTTGCATCCTTTCCGCAGAATCCAGCTGCTCGTTGTTGTTGGTGTTGTTGCTGCTTGTTGTTTAACCCAAATTCGAACAAAGTGCATAAATCTGACACAGAGCCAGAGAAAGCACAGAGAGAGGGAGACAGACAGACAGTGTGATTACAGAGAGAGGGAGAGAGAGAGAGAGGGACAGAGTCAACGAATACCAGAGATGGAAAGCATCTTAAACTCTGGCCAAAAAACTGTAATTATTGCAAACAGTTTGTAAACGTTGCCAACTCGGGTAAGGGGGAAACAAGTTGGGCGTTCGTCTAAAAATCAATTAGGTGTTAGCCCGGCAAAGCAATTATTATCGATGTCATCGATTCAGATGGCAAATGCAATCTGCAGTCCGTCTCCTGCTGCCGTCTCCTGCTGTCTGCAGCCTCTCTATAAATAGCCTAATCAAATAAGAAATCGCAAATAATTTCACACTAATCTGACGAGTTCATTTTGCGGCTGTTGCTTATTTATTTGTTATTTGTTTGTGTCGTTCTTCTTGAGCGGCACTTAATAAAAACAACAACAACACGAGCGGAAAAACAAAATTTAATGCTAAAAATAATCACAAAATGCAATGCCAGCAGTCGAGGCGCCTAATTTAGCTGCGCTGCGCACTTTGACGATAATCAAAGCGAATTAAATATGAAAAATTCAATTAATGGAAGCAGAAACTAAACTTCACAAAAGTTTAGTATCAAGAAAATCCTAATTGATTTAAAATTCATTTTTGAAGCTGACAAAACAATTTCTGAGTACATAAATGAGAATTTTTAATTATAGCCATCTCGTTTGATATTTTTACCAAAAACTCTCTCGATAATTTCCATGAAAATACTAGCGTATATATAGTTTCGCATAATATCAATAAAAATACTAGAACATAGCGCGGGGTATACTTAGATATAAACAAATATGTTTGTGTGCACTTTGTTTCTCTGAATAAATGAAATGTAAATTAAAAAACGAATTGCCTATTAAGCTCATTAAGTTTGTTTACGATTATCATTAGCACAAGAATAATTATCTACATTGTTTCTGTCTTACAGCCGAATTTCAAATAATTTCCACTCTCTCATATAGTTTCGATCCCACGCTTCGCTCTTTGTGTTAAAATTGAGCTCTCTCTCTTGGATAGTTAGATCTTTAATGAATAAATATTGATAATTGAATAACTGTTACTAGATAGGAAAAACTTTTCGAATTTGCTGCTCTCTCAACACTATCAGTAACATTCTCTCTGGTTACATCTTTATTGATAATTATATAACTGTTACAAGATAAGAAAAACTTATCTCATTTGCTTCTTTCTTTCAGTTGACTTTCAACAGAGCTTACACTTTCCAATCTTCAACAAATATATTGATAATTAGATAACTGTTACAAGATAAGAATACTTATTGCATTTGCTTCTCTCTTTCGGGGGCAATAGTTTAGCAATTTACTGCATCAATTGCATTTAGATCTTCTTGAATGTTATACAAATTTTATATATGCATAAAAGAGATAAAAATAAAATAAATTACAAATTAAAATAAAAATGAAAATAAAAATAAAATAAATAAATCTTTTGCTTCTCTCTTCAAATTAAAATTGTGACTCTAAAACAATCGAATCTTTTATTATGAATGTATTTTCATGTTTAGAAAACCTTCACAATTATGAGAGTTACGTTTATGAGATCTTCAGCATTAGATGCAAGCGAGTCTCATCGATCAGCATAGCCATTGTTGCTTTGCATTTTGAAATGAAAAGTAAAGCAACAACAATGATCAAAGCATAGACAACAATGATGATGGCAACACGCTGGCACGACACGAAAGTGCGCAATCGATTGCAAGTCATATATACTATATATATATATGTACTAGATATATTGTAGTATGCACACCGTCGATCGCTGATAGTGCTAATCGCACTCACAAATCAACAAAAGCGTGCGGAACTGAGTGAGCGCCAAAAAGATTACAAATAACTCAACACTGGCAAAGGTCTGGCTGGGTATCTCGCCATCGCTGGGGTCTATGTTTGCTCTTTAAACCAAAAGATTTGCCATTGTTGTTGTTGTTGTTGTTGCAGATTGGCATTTTAATTGGGCTGTTGACATTTGCATGCAGCATGCGCCATTGCCATTGCCATTGCTATGGCTATTGCCATTGTCAATGCCATTGGCATTGCCATTGCCATTGCCATCTTTATTGTCGTCGCCTTCGATTGATCAACAAAACAAAAGGAAAATTCTGCTCGAAAATTGTCTCAAGAGCGAAAGCAACTGTTGGAAATGATTTGCATGTGTATGTGCGTAAATGGAAGAGAGAAAGACAGAGTGAGAGAGAGAGTGTGAGAGAGAAAGAGAGAGAGAGAGGCTGTCTAGCAATGTTATTGCAACTCTCATTATTTCAAATTCCTTCAGTTTGCTGCACAAAATTGTAAAAGTTTCGTGTTGATTCTCTGCTTCTTCTTCTTCTTCTTGTTCGTTTCGCTTTTGTTTCGCGCTTTAGACTTACGAATTTAGTGGAAGGTGCAAGGCTGTTGTTGTTCTTGGCTGCTGATTGTTGT